TTTAGTGTGAATATCTCTTCATGTACAGCCATGTCAACTAATCTGAAGACCCTGTATTCTGATGCCGTATTGGCTCAATACTAGGGCCCTTGAGCTAACCCCGCTTCGCAGTGTTCAAAAGGTCTGCGCGACCAAATTCAAATTTAGCTTTGTGGAACGCCAGCAGTCGCGCAGGGCCCGCAGAGACGTGGACGGCAGCGCCATTATCGATCAATTGACATTCAACGTGACGCTGAGCGGCTCATCTCATGATCTAGTTTCTCCACTGCAAAAGCTTTGTACACAGTTTGTTCTTTGCTTGCTCAAGGTGCGGCCCCGAGGAAGTTCTGAGACCTGAATGCTGCAGAACAACCTGCGGAAATTCAGGTAGTTGCTTAGGTCCATTAGCTGTATCATTACTATGCCCTGCAGCAAAACCAGATCATGTTTTCTTGACTGTGCAGGTGTAGCAGCCAGAGATTTGGTTCATGACTGCGAATCTGTAATCTCTCTTGCCCAAGCGTTTTGCATTAGCGTCCTCATGGCACCGCGGCTGGGGCTCCAGTTCAACTGATGCTTCCCATTTCTGCACTATTGCTATTCGGATGGCCCTTGGTGTCCAGAGTTCTTATTTTCCATGCCTTTCGGATAGCCCTTCATTCTGACACGTCCTTTCAAAACAGTGTACAACAGACTCTGACCGTGCTCCAGGTAACAGCGCGGGGTGCCCGGGGAGATGTTCAAAAAAGGGACAGCCGCTCAGATGGGGCTTGAAGGGGTTGCCTTGGAATTAAGGACAACTGGCAAGGATAGGGCTTTCTTTTTTTGCCGGTCTTGCAAAACAATGCAGAGTGTAGGTTTGAGGGAGTGGGATGTTTTTGGTGACGACGCCTGCACGGGCCCATGCGTTTGTGCATATTTTCAGTCTTTGTACTGCGGAAGGGGTGGGGAAGGGATGGCAATTTCGCACGATAACTGCGGCAGAAGCGCCTGGTTCGGAAACGCGCACGAAACTGTTGCAAATCGTGCAAAACCAGACTTCGGAGGTAGGCCTTCCGACCTATTGTTTGTACAGCGCTGTTTGCCCCGATGTGCGTTTTGCCACAGTTTCGCTGGCATAGGTATCATCCTGCATACCTGCGAATGTGTTTAAACACATGGGTCTGTCCGGGCGCCCGAACCATGTTCTTGAGCAGCCTTGCCAACATTTCTTTGGGAACGCCCCATCTGAGACACATGCAAGATGCCTTGGCATAGTTTCCTGAGCCATCTGCAGCTGAGGTATGCAGCACAGGGGCAGAACCTGTTGTCCAAGAAGGACCGGCTGTGCTGCTCTTTCGTGCCCGGCTTCTGTCAGCTGCCTCCAGGATCTGAAAGCTCTGAAAGGCACATCTGCCATCGGGTTAAATGTGAGGGTGTCAATGTCCTGAACCTTCTTTGGTTCTAACCAGACTTTTTACAATCACTCTTGCAGTCCAACCTTTTTCCAGTGATCCCGAAGGCCAGCTGGTCGAGCTCTTCCCGAGCCTCGATGAGAAGATGCTGGATGAGATCCTGCCTGAGGGTCAAGCCAAGGTGGCTAGGGCACGTACCCTTTTTGCTACTGCATGTATAGGTTATATGCCGCCAAGCAATGCATGGGGTCATCAGGGGGCCATGCTCTCAACCCAGCAAGAAGCTGACACCTGGTTAGGATGCGTAGTCAGATTTCTTCCAAGCATTGCGTGAAAACGTTGCCCAAATGACTAAACTCTCTGAATGTGGATGCTCGACCAGCTTGGCACCTGGTACCCTGGTAATCTGTGAAATCCTCATCTGGAAGGTCTCAAAGCTGGACAACCGCTGCCTGCTGTACTCCTGCGGCGACTCGCCTCCTGCCTTCTTTGATGCGGAGGGTCGAGGGGAGCACGGCCCCCAGATGCCCCAAAAAGCCCTGACAGATGCTGTGGGTCTTTGATTCATAATTGCTGATTTCAGGTTCTACCCAACCCTGCACACGCTCTGGCAGTTCCCGTGCGCCCACCGGACCTCCTTGCCTGAAAATGTTAATGCCATCAAGCCATGCTAAACTGCAGGCACATCATGCAAGAGCTTACGATCCATCCGCCTGTGTTACGAGCTCAGCACTGCCCATGCCAAAGTGCTGCTTTGCCTTTCTGGGCTGTGCAGGTCAAAGTTCGTGCTGAACGGTGCTGACCTCATGTTGCCAGGAGTCCTGGTGCAAAGCTTAGCCATCTTAGCAATTCCGGAGCGGTGTTGCTTCACGCCATCTCTATGCTCTTATCAAGCTTCTTCCGTACTGTACGTAATTCACCCAGGTGCCTGCAAATGGTGTCGCTGGCTTTGGTACAGTGACCAAGGGCCAGAAGAAGCCTTGGCTTTGGGGTTTTTCTTTCATAAAGAGAGGCGTGCATTGCAAGTTGTTTCTTTGCACGTATAAGGCCACGCTGCATCAAGATTGACGGGAACCCATATCCGATAGCCGTCGGGAGAATGCTGGTGAACCAGACCCAGATGGAAAAGCAGCACCCCTACTCGGACCCCTGCTTTTCGCTGCTGGGGCGTATGCTGGCCCGTGAATGAGGTTAAAGGGCAAAGGCCTGGAGGCTGTTCAGCACATGTTTCTGAAGCTGTCGTCTTCGGTGGAAATCCAGACGTTATATTCAGGTGATGCATGTGTACAAAGATGCTCTCTGGGCCCAGTGTGGCAAGGCACGCAAAGCCTGCAGGTGTTCTTGAATTGCTGGTCTTGATGGTACAGTAGCCAGGTGAAACCCAACGCTGGTTTCTCGGATGACGAGGAGGCAAAGTCCCCGCAAGTCCTTGTTTGCAGCCGCCGCTCACCAAGAATCCTGCACTTGGAAGGTAGCTCCTTGTGCGGATAGCAAGTGGAAGCCTGGCGTTGCGCCAGAAGCTCATCATCCGGCAGACCAATGCTAGGCGCATGTCACAGTCTCTGCATTCGCTGCAGACTGCTGCAGGCTTAGAAAGCCAAAGCAGCCTCTTCCGAAAGCCAACACGCCGAGGAGTGCGGAGGCCAACAGGACAGCGGAGCCCAGTGGCCCCGCTGAAGCGGCGGCGCCAGCAGCAGCGCCCACAGGCCAGTCATGCTGCAAAGATGCTAGCCTCTTTGCTTTGGAAGACTTGACTTGGGCTCAGTTCCGGCATACAGCAGCTACATTGCTGAATGTTGTTTCCTCATCCATACGTGTTGGCACATGCTTTATTTCTGCTGTGCAGGCACAAAGGCTGCGACCGTCTCAGCGTTTGGATATGTGTGCCCTTCTGCAGAGCCGGTAGGGCAAGCATGATTGTGCAGCTTCTGCCAAGGCCGACGACTGGTCGATGCTCAGCTAAAGTATGTGGAAATCGCACCAACCCTCACTTGTCAGAAGCATGAAGCTAAGGCAAGATGACCTGCTGGATTTCACTTTTCTCCAAGCCTTCAAGCAAGGCCTTGCAGACGACAAGGCACTTTTGCTTTCTGCTTCCTCTGTTTCTGCTGCTTTCAATGGCTTTGGGGTGCAGGCCCTGCCCATAGAAGCTTCAGAGCTCTACGAGAAGCACATGAAGCCGGCAAGGCAAGGCATGCTGGCAGCCAGTCTCTGTTAAACACCATAGATACTATACCATAAGCACCAGATTCTCTACCATGATGGTAGGCCTGAGGGCACCACCATAGATGTCAAAAAGTCGTGGAAACCTGAGTTGAACTAGTGTCATCACTGCAAACCCTGACTGGTGTGATATCCAGGTCTCACAAGCAGATTGGCAAATTCCTTAACGCAATGCGGAAATCCAAAGCGATCGACGTGACGGAGAAGAAAGGTGTCATCCACGTGTCAAAAGTCGTTGCTGCCTCAGCCCTTCGTCATTATGCTGGATCACTAGTCCGACCAGCCTTTCCAGCTTACGAGGACAGGAAGCACAAAGTCTTTGTCGCTCTCGAAGAGAAGTTTGTGCGAGCTCTCAGCTTGCAGGGATGCCTTGCCTTTGCTGGCTGCTGATCTTCGTTGAGGCGGCACAGGTGGCTGCTGCCCCAGTGCCGTCCGCACCTGCTGCGGCTGCGACTCCAGCAGGCGCAAGCAGTCTGTGAGCTTCGGATGGTCTGGTCTTCCCCGGTTCGGAGAAGAGTTTCGAGTTGACCGCCAGGCTTGGCGCCGCCCAAAGTGACGGCCATGCTCGGATCCCGGCATCATTTGACGCTCGCAGAACGTCGTTTCCAAGTCTCAGCGATTCAGGTGGAAACCTTCACATTACTTGGAGCCGATCTGGAAGGTGCTTCGCTGTGTCAAGCCTGTGCTGGGATTGGAGGAGTTGGGCAGTGGTTTCAGGCTGTGGGGAAGAAGAAGGATGATCTCTACTCTTGGGATGAGGCGTGTTAGCTAAGTCCAAGTCTGTTTCAAAAGCAACTCTCTGTGAGCCTCTCGCTTCCAAGGCGAGAGCAATAGTCTTCAGCTATATAGAGCAGGCCAGTGGTGCAGAGAATCTAAGTGGCCAGCAGCTGGCCATATGGGTGGTTGTAGGAGAATCTCGGCAAAGCGGACGGGCCGAGCACTTAGGGACCTAGCCTGTTTGGCTTCCCAAAGCCAGTCACTGGCCGTGCATGCTACAGGCCAATCAAGATGAACGATGGGCTTCTGACTGCCCTGTGGAAAACAGCAGCTCAGACACGATGACCCAGTCAGTCAAAGGTTGAATCTGTGTGTCCAAGGCTGGCGGACAGAAGAAGGACCAGGAGTGGCCTGAGGAGGCTTAATGGCCAGTAGCCCGGAACTCCGTGCACTATGCGCTGCTGAGGTGGACGGCGAGCAGGTTGAGGAGAAGTTGGAAGACCGACTGCAGCAGCTGGAATCTCATGGCTTGGGGTAGTCGCCAAAGGACCATCTTGATGATGCTCGCTCAGCAATCCAACTCAATCTGTGTGTTTACTGAGGTACACCACCATTGATGTAGCTGGTGTTGGCGCGACTACCAGAAAGGGTGCACCGGTGAACATCGCAATTAGCTTGCCGGGGCCTGAAATGGGGCTTCTGCGGTCGAAGAACGTCATTACGGGAACAGATGGCTTAGGTCGAGAAAAGGTGCTCACAACGTCACGAGGATCTGCAACCTCGAAGCCTATGGCCTTGATCCAGAGTGCTGGGCTTGGGAGCTACACGCAGGTTTTGAGTTTTGAAGACACTTGCAAACCAAGGGCCTTGGGAGACGAGCTCAAGAGAAAGCTCAACTGTACAGTTTATATTGAAGACATGCCCGGAAAGAACGCGTGGCCCTGAGAGCCCTATGATGCCGCACGCTTGCGCGGGGTGAAGGTCCAACATGGTCCATTGGTAGCTGGTGTGCTGTTTGCTGGCAGAACAAGAAGCCGTTGCGAGGTGAAGGAGAAAATGTTGCAGCTACAAGGTCACGTGCCCTTGCTGCAAGACAGTTAGTTCAGTCAGTTTACAGCTAGTAGCTAAGAAATGCATCCCTTACCGCTTGTATTGCTGGACGTCAAGCCAAGCCACGCTATATAAAGCTATAGAATCTTTCCGCTCCCGCCAAGGTCGACCAGGAATTAGCGCAGTTTTTGGAGCAAAGGCTGATTCTGCTAATGAATTTGGTGTTCAGCTCCCTGTGCCTACCACCATGTGAAAGATAATGGGAGGTATGGGATTACGAAGAAGTTCTTGGAGGTGAAGTGAGGGTAGGTAGCGCTTTTGCTGACTTTAAGAGACGTGGCCGTTTGTGCAGACAGCATGCAAACTGGCGACGCTATCTGTTTGTTGCTTTCTGCGCATGTGGGGGCATTGGGGGCAATTCCACATGAGCAAGATGTGGTACCATGTGGTACCCAATGCAGCTTTGGCTTGAAGGCTCAGGGTTGTAGAGGCCTGTTTCTTTTTGGGTGGCAACACTTCAGCGTAGCTGAAAAAGCCACTGCTGGATCTGGACAAGGTCGGTTCACAAGTTTCATTTGTTGTGGTTGAACCTTGTGGTCCACGACTCTTCACCACCTTATCCAGATCCCTTGCCAGTAAGTCACAAGAACTTGCGACTCCTCTCATGGCAACGAAAGCAAATCGCCTGACCTTTTTGGATGCTGTGCGGCGCGGCCGAACAGACCAGGTTGTTCCTCGGCTTAGAATGTATAGCACCAGAAGGGAGCAGGTCTTGTTTGAGTGTTGCTTCAGGATCAGCTGCTCCGAGCACGGGCTTACCCCGAGGACGTGGATGAGAATGTCCTTGATTGGACCGGAGAGCCCCTTCGCCCCACAGTCCTGATGCTGGCAGCAGCAAATGCTCAGCAGGTCTGTGTAGAAAGGCTCCTGCAGTCTGGGGCACAGGTGAATGGCACGAATGCAGTCGGCCGAACGGCCTTACACATTGCTGCTGAGAAGGGGCATGTGCCGGTGGCAAAGCGCTTGCTGCATGCCAGCGCTGACTTGGACAGCAACGACTTGAAGGGCAATACTCCCTTGCACCGCTCAGCCTGCAATGGCAGACAGGAGATGACACGAGTGTTGCTTGCAATGCTCGCAGAAGTGGACAGTAAAGACAAACGAGGCCAGTCGGCTATGGATCAGGCCAGGGATCGGGGCCAGACAAAGATTGTGGAAATGTTGGCCGAGGCTTCCGCCGAAAAGGCGGCGGCACATGTACAGCTTTGCGTGATGAATCGCCAGCAACTCCTACTTGTCGCAAAGAGGGTGGACTTGCAAATGCCACCGGACTCCGACCTGAGGGAATTGCTGACCCAGCACTTTGTGGGTCGCTTCCGAGGACGACAGACGTCGGAGTTGATTCAGGAAGCCCAGGCAATGCGGGTGAAGCAGGACGTGATGGATGAGGCAGGGAATCTCCAGCAATATCGGTTTCTGGACTGCCTGCTTTTGTGATTGAGAGTTGGATTTGAAGGGTAGAGTGCGCTGCGCAGGCCATGCAAGAGTTCGAGAACCGGCCCAAGCTTGGCTTGATCAAGTTGCTGGTTTCACAAACATCAGTTCCTACGGGATACGTGGCTCCCCCACCGATGCCGCCGATCCAGCTGGGCCCGTTGGGTACCAAGATGGATGACAAAAAACCAAAGGACTCAGGGAACTCAGTGACATCGCCACGCCCGCCGCCCCCTCCACCACCACCCGTGTCTACACACAGTCATCAGTCCCCGCGATTGGTGAAGGCCTGAGATTGCTTAAGCTCAAGTTGACCCATTGAGGCGTGGGACCAAGTTGTTGACTTGCCGTCCAAATTTGTTCGAGCCTGCCCGTGTCTGCCAGATGCCTGTCTGTCATGGACTCTTCCAAGAAGAGCCATCAAGTCAGGCTCCTCATGTCCCAAAGGACATTGAGAGGTTTGAAGACTGTCGAGCCAAAAGGCCGTTCATTGACACTGCTCTCTGCCAGTTCGTTTGGGATCTGGAATAACGCGCTGATGCTGCTGAAGAGTGTCGCTTAGTCGCTTGTCTTCCCAGCAGTGTGTTTGTGCTCAAGAGCAAGGGCTCGACATGTGGCAGTTTCTGTGCGGCACGCTGGTTGGAACGTGCTCCGAGCTTCAACTTTGGTTGTCTTGCTATATTATGACACCTGCACCGCCATGCTTGCTCGTCATGCCAAAGCAGGTACCTTGGAACATACTACAACTTCCGTCCCTACATGGAGGCAAGATAGGGAGCTCCGACATCGGCTCCTGTCTGAGAAGTTTCGCGAGGTTCTTCGACAGTTTTACGAAAGGCGGATGGCTGAATTTGTTGACAGCTCAGCGGCAACTGAAGCTGTTGGCATACGCGAGGAGATGTAAATTCAACGACTTTGTCAGTGTAAAGCTTCACCTGTCTGATATGCACCTGCAAGCCGCTTCGGCTCGGTGCGATGCCGTCGCTGCAAGGCCGAGACAAGACCGATCTCCAAGCAGTGACGCGCACCAACAGCTCCGGACTCCAAACCCTCAGCTAGTACAGATGTCAAGGTACAGACGTTAATGGACACTCGCCTTTTCTGGGCTTTGTACATACCAGACGCACTACTTGCAGAGACTACTGCAGTCTTGCGAGCAAAAGGGCTTGTACTTTATGCGGAGTAGGGGCTTTGGGACGGTACGGGATCGCTTAACTCAAAGTACGGGCGTGCCTGGTGAAGCGGAATGACGTCATGACATAGAATTCGGCGCCTTAGTTTGTGTGAGGCCAGCTCACAACTGCAGGGCATCCCTCAGTGAACTCGACATGGTGCAGACAATTTCCCCGGTGCATTCTCCTGCTCAGCTGTTGGCTCTAGATGTACAGGCGAGCTGGCGGGGAGCAGGTTGGTCCGCCCTGGTTTTGGATGGAGGCGAGGATCGTTCGATAGGAGCAGCGTCTCGTTTCTTTTGACTTGGCGTTACCTCCAGGCATGGATGGCACAACGTTCGTGATCGTTTTGTTCGTCATCCTATTTGTGGTTGGAGTTGCTGGGTATGTGTCGCATGCTCAGAGCAGCTTGTATAATCTAAGGGGGAGCATTCCTGGTGTCTTACTCTATTGTCTGCAGGTACTATGTGAACGTGAAAATGGCGGAGGCGATGTGGGTTGTTCTAGCGTCGCTGCTTAAGGAGTTTGCATGCGTGAGCTGGGTAGCCACTTTGGAGATCTAGACGCAAGCATCATGCTGTAGATCACAACCGCCAAGAAGGCATGAAGACTGCTGCATCAGCAGAACACAGACAACAGGTCAACAATGCGTCAAACAGAGCTACAGCTGCATGAAACCCTCGGGTTGGCATGGGGCTGGTGACTCACCTTTGCAATGCAACATATAGTAACATAGCACCTCGTAACACGTAGTAACAGGTAGTACTTGCAGATCCCTCTCTGCCTTCCTGGCCCGTGAGGCAGGCATGGGCCAGAAGAACGTGAACGGGAAGAAGAAGATTCGGAAGAAGGAACCTTTTGCCTAGGATTTCTCTAGTCTATATCTCCCTACAGTTCTCTACTGTTCTGTGATGTTCTGTGATAGTTCTGTGGCTTGGCTGTCTTGGAGGACAAAGCTTCCTGGTCACTTGGTGGTTAGACTGGGCGCGTGGACGCTTGTAGACAACTTCAGAAGTTGCTGTCGCGGCATGAATGCCCAGCAGCACTTCAGGCCATAGGCCGACAAAGACTGACCACGCAGCAGGCAGTGGAGCCAAAATACTTGCCGTTCCCGAATCATTTTGTACATCAGATCAGAGTCGATTTGCACCACTTGTCATTGTGAACTTGTAGAACCGAACTTGCTGCATGCACGTGAGACATTGTCTTGGCATGCGGGCGCAGCTTCCCTTTCTTACTTAACACACATTGTATGCTTCTACAGTCGAGGCGTCTCGAGAAGATGAGCCAACCTTCTTACAGCTCATTGCAGAGTGCAAATACAAGAACTCATAGTGCATGTAGTCATGCTGAGAGCCCTTTGGAGATGGCCTCCATGCTGGACTTTGCCGAGGTACACTCAAGAAGCCTCAAGAAATGCTCTAGCGAGTGATGTTCAAAATAGTTTGGAGCATATGACAGGCCTTGCAGGCCAGATCAGCCGAGCTGCGAAGAAAGGTGCACGACGAACAGCAGAAGCAGGTTTGGTCTTTCCAGCTTTGGGGTCTTGAAGCAGCTTTGCATCACTGCGATCCACAGGAGGCAGCCCACCGCGAGCAGGTCTTCGTAGAAGACGAGGTGAGAAGAGCCGAGCGCAGAGTGGGCAGAGTGGGCAGAGTGCGCAGAGCGCAAAGACTTTGCATAGCCTTCATTGTTATGAAGGTGGCCAGGCTGCGGGGCGAGGCCTGCACAGAATCTACTGTGAACTCCTTGAGGGTTCTTATAGGGAATCTAAGGGAGATACCAGGAGTTCAGACTCTAGCTCACATAAGCTATAGTCTAAACTCTTTAAAGGGGGTTGGTGATATAGGGGATTATATAGGGGACTACTTTACTATAGGGGATATTAAGGGGGATACTAGGAGTTCAGACTCTAGCTCACATGATCTTTCCTTGGGAGGCCTTGGAGCTTCAGTTGGCTGCCGACCAGCAGCGGCAGGCGACGCAGGGCAGGGCTCCGCAAGGTTGGCTGAGGATTATATAGATAGGGATCATAGAAAAGAACATGGAAACTACTGTAGTATATTGTGGTTATATTGAGGTTATATTGCGATAATGGAAAAGAATATGGAAACTGCCGGGATTGTATAGGGGTTACATAAGGTATATACTGAGGTTATATGAGGATGCTGGGCCATGACTCAGGACCGGAAGGCCCAGCGAGAGGCCAGGGCCTTTGAACTCAAACCCAAACTTTTTGATTTCTGATGCAAGTGCTGGTGAAGCTGAGGCCAAAGTGGATGTCGGCTCGCTGAAGAAGGAGGTGGCATACTTCATTCCATGAGACGCACGATTCATCAAGGCTGTATTTGCAGCTTGTTCTGAAGAGTGCAGGTGAGCCGCCGCCAGAATCAGGTGGCGATCCTGACCGAAGAATTGGCCCCTTTGCTGGATTGATTGAAATGACAGCTTTACATTAATTCACATAAATTCTACCTGGTGCACCCGCTGCTCTGAAGCTCTGAAGGCTCGCATGCAGGCTGATGTGCGCAGCCGCGTGGACGAAGCTGTGACAAGAGCAGAGAAGGCTGAAGGGACGCAGTCTGCTGCGATGGATGCATGCTACGAGTCGGGGGTTCCGATTCTCTCTGCTGCTTTAGGAGGATTTCTGGGACCTACAGTAGCTGCCCGTCTAGATTCTTTGAAGGGCAAGGCGCTTCCAGGAGTCCTCGTGCTTCTCTGAGCTTGAAGTACTGGCAAGGCTGCCTTGGGGCGAGAAGCAGACCTGGAACTGCAATGGTGCGGCACCCGACATTCTTTCGTAGCACTATTAAGAGGGACTCTCAGGTTCATATAGCAGGGGTCTGGGAAGGTTGCATTATTGGGCGATGCAGGGTTCTCGCGCTCCAAGGCCACGACCACTTGAAATCGCACTTTCTCACTCCCCTAAACCCCTGGCAGGGGCATTTTAGGACCACATCAAGTTTATTCAGAGATCACTAGATCTATATCCAGATCTCAACAAAATGCACTGGCAGCGGTGCCAATTCTCACTGTTTGTCCTCTTTCGAGGGTGAGAGCTTCCACGGACCCACAGACAACGGCTAACACTAGAAGGGCAGAAGATGAAAGGTCGCCGAGTGCATCATGTTGCAGAAAGGATCAGCTGGAGCATGCGCATCCTAAGTGTGTGAACGCAGGGGCAAGTTGGCGTGGGGCTAGCACAGTAAAAGCTTGAGAAACGCACTGAAAATGAAGGTCTGCCCGTGAGGAAGCCGAGAACGAAAAGCTGAGGTGCTGAAGATTGTTGAACGCTTCTTGATGTTGTAAGCAGGCACAGCTGATGTGCAATGCAACTTTTGCCTCCTTTTCAGGAAAGCCAAGCAAGCAACTCTGAGCCTGGAACAGGACAGCTTGAACTCGATCCGAGGCCATTAACCCGAATTGAGCTCCCTAAGCTCCGTTGAAGGAGTCAGCATGCCTTGAGCGTGAGATGCGAGCTCTGCCGTCGCGTACCGCCGCTGTGCAGCTCTTTGCTGTGAGAGCCTGGCTCGCTTACTGATGCACACAATTCACACTTCCCTTCAATGTAGGGTAAGGTGGCAGCCCCGCACTTAAACTGCACTTGCATTGTTTTCAGGCTAGATCAGCTCCGGCACAAGCGCGAGGCTGAAAGGTGATCTTCTCCTATTTAGGTCAAAGCCGCATCTTGCAGGTTGCAGACTTTGTCGAGCGCTGCTGCTGGGAAGAGCAACAGCTTTGTCAGCGATGCAGCAGGCTGTGTGGGGAAATTGCATTGCACGATGGGAGACACTGTCATGAAGGCGCCTTGACGAGAGGGACGAGAAGCTGGCCCAGTTGGACCGTGAGGCGACTGAGCAGCGCCGCCAAGCCGCCCAGCGCAGAGCTGCCTCCGAGGCCCTTGTAGCTTCTGAGCGCTCAGCAGATCCTGTGAAATCACCTCGTCTGACACAAAGGAGGAGGCTCGAAAGGAAGAGGCAGAACTCACCGAGCGCCTGGAGAGGTTCGACCATTCGTTTCTCCACCCACACGAAAGACAAGGTTTCCCAACATCCTGGCAGGAACCGGAAGCGCGCGTCTGCCCTACACGTTTCTCTGAAAGCTTAAGGTCACGTTTTCTTGCAAGGACTCAAACTTAGATTAGTTTCCTGAAGCGAGACGACGTCTTAGTTCTTGGGCCAGGGAACGCGCTGAGCGCGAAGCTTCTCGACATCTCAAGGTGCTGGGGTTGGGCAAAAAAAAAAGTGCTCAGCGTCCTCAGAAGTTGAGTGGCAGGAAATACGAGATGCACGTGGACAGCCCGGTGAGGCTTGACTACAGCTAAGCTTATCCTTTTTGGCAGCAATCTTGCTTGGGATTCGGTGCCCCATCGATGTTTTTCCAGACGTGGAACTTTAACGATATGGTGGAAATTTCAGAAGCTGTAACATGTTGACTTGAGGGGTTTCGCCAGGGAACTGTGGCTGCTCCCGTTGTGCCTCCTAACAGCCTGCTGTGAAGCACATGTCCTGCAGGGCTGCGAGCATCGCGCATCCCCGTCGTTGCCTCCAGTTGCTTCATCAACTGGCTCCAGGCAGTGAGGGACTTGTGCAGATGCTTGAAGTTGCGCCTCAACTGCGAACGCCCGCTCCAGAAGGTATGGCGCTCATCACGAATTTGCATTGATTGGTGCTCTCAAGGTTCGAAGCCTCCCGCATGACCCATATCTCCATTTTGAGCGATGGCAATTGCAAAAATTGGCTCACATCCTGGGAGGCTCTTGACCAGGAGTTGAGCGGCCAGCGCTTTGGGCGATACAGAGGCCCCTGCCCCTGCCAATGTTGTTCTGCTAGTTAACCGCCAGTGCGGCACAAGCATCAGCTTTAGTATACAAGATGAAGTCAGTACAAAATGCCAATCAAGCTTCGATTCAATATGAAATATGCTCTAATCTAATCGAGCACTGCGACTGGTCGAGGTTATTATGATGGAAGCGGTGCTGTACCGTTGAATGTCACTTGTGAGTCAGTAGGGAGGATGGATGAGGATAGTTTTCCGACCCTCTTTTCTTGCAGTCACAACCCTCAGAGAGAACCATGACCTAAAAACCCAAACCTAATACCACCCCTTCGTGACCGCCCCTCCCCAGATCTCCAGTTAGGCTCGGGGATTAGAGGGCGGCCCAGGGTTGACAATTTGTTGGGTTTGCAGTATCTTGGCGTTTCAGGCTTCGGGGTAAAGGGTGTGGGTTGGGTGTACATGAGGGACTTTGGCGCTCAGCTAGCTTTTCTTGAGGCAGGATTTCGGAATTTTAGGCTTCGCTTTTTTGGGAGCAAGTTTATAGGTCGAGAGGTTGTGGTTCCATTAAACGTTTTGGGGGGTTCTACCTTTTTGTCCAGGTCTAACGAGTAAACCCTTTCATGTTCAGGCTTTTGGTATACATGGCGAGGCTACCTGTTTTGAGGCCAGAGGCGCTGTGGTAGTTTTCATGGGTTGTTGCAGGAGCGGTTTTTGCGGTGATGGGCCAATATGTTTCTCGGGCAGAGCATCCTAAAATGGGGGAACTCGTCGAGGGGAAGTGCGCAGTTGAGTGAGTGAGGTGGAGGTTGAGTACTTGAAGCGTACCGGTCAGCAACTCAAGGTCTGACGATTTGGTTCAAGAAGACTGCACAATCCGAAAAACAACTGGAACCCCAAATCAAGGCCCCAAACTGGAACAAAATGACTGCAGAACGAAGAGAAACAAGCAAATCAAGGCTATTCCGTTTTTTTTTGCAGTCGGCACATCCTGCAGTGGGCTGAGCAATTTTGCAAAGACCTCTATGGCGGTTGAAATAGGCAGTTGTCTCGAGCGCCGGAACTATAGGTAGTAAAACACCCAGAGTATGTCGGAGTCGGTAAGTGAAAAGAATTTCAAGAGTTCGTGTAGGATGCAGAAGATCTAACCCCTGGACAAGCTATATGCTTAGGGATCGAATAATAATGAAGAAGGATTGTGAGAGCTGTTGACGTCAGCCAGCTTGAAACAATGGCAATTGTGTGTGTTTTTTGTCTCCAGGCTTCTGAAGTCCTCTCTGACATCTCCTGATGCGATCTAGGTCAGGTTCCTGCTAACGATTTGTGAGAACTCACATTGTACATAAAGGTTTGGCCCAAAATGGGCCAGAACAGCTTGAAGCATGGCTTGCAACTGGTGTTCCTTCATGCAGAGCAGCTCTCATGTCAAGATCTGGGGTCATGCTTGGCCTCCCCGCTATCACAGATCGTTAGACGAGTTTTGCTTCCGTTTCGTCCTGGCTGGCTTATCGTACTGCCGGTCTAGTCAGAATCCCTTCAAGTCAATCTACATTGGGCAGCACCATTCCGGAATGCAGCACCTTGTCGGCAGACATGAAGAGCACAAGAGCATCCCAAGATTCAAGAAAGCCACAGTGTGAAGAAATCGGGCACGGCTGCTAAATGTGGCCATCATCATGGCAAGCTCATACATAGATCCCAAAAGATCCCACGGCCTTCGAAGCAATGGAAATCGCATAGCGCATGGTGCTGGGCGCATGGATGGTCCAAGTGAGAGATGCGACTCCTCACAGTGCCCTTGATTCTGCAAAGTCTGCAAGCCGAATCTGAGGAGTGCCCCGCCTCGCCTGTGACGGGTTTGGTGCTATGCCGGGACATGCCAGGCCCTGGCCGCGCTGGCCGCCCTCGCCGGGAGCAACGAGAACGGTCTCATAGCCGAGACGTGCGCGAGTCTTTGTGGCCCTGGCCTCGCTCTCTCTCGCTCCGTCGAAGTCGAAGGGGCAGCGACTCCGACGTGAGCTCTCACGTGGATTCGGATGCTCCTCCTCTTGGGCCCATCCAGGCACTTCGCGTGAATGGATGTCTGATCGGCTTCAACTTGAGTGGAGTGGAAGGCTGGACAGCGGCCCAATGAAGCTCATAGATTTCAAAACATGTTTGGGAAGCGAACCGCACCCCAGGAGACCGGCCAGCTGTGCTTTGGTCCTTGGAGCACTTCTGCTGGAGGCTTTGCACCGCAGATCGCCAGGAGATTGCCGCTTGCTTTCACATCAGACGTTCCTTGGCACCATTCCACATTGATATGCGCGCGTACGGAAGCAGGTCGCCTGAAGTCTTTGCCAAGCTAAGGAGTCGGAAGCTGAGGACTCGTGCAAGTTAGACACTTCGGGCTTCCGTGGCGTCACTCGAGTGGATCTTGAAATCGGCATGGATTCCGAAGGCCGGGCTATGAGAACAGCACGGTCCTGATTCGTGTGTTTTGAATATGTTTGAATCTTAAGAGGCGATGGCCCAAGCCTTCAGATGAACGAGGGCTACGAGCTTGTGGTTGCGGAAACGGCCAAGCTGTCTGCCAAGTCTATCCACGGCTTTAACCGGGGACTGGAAACATTGCTAGTGGTCCTGGATGCACTTCCCGCGGAGGCGGAAGAGAACTGGACCTGGGCTCCGGGCATCTCAAACGGAAGTCTTCTCGAGCTGAGCATCAAGGATGCACCCAAGTTTGCCTGGCGCGGCCTGCTGCTGGACACCGCTCGACACTTCGTGCCGCTCCAGGCCAGTGCACGTTTCGAACTGTTCGCTGACCGAACTTGAACGCACCAGGTGATGGAGTCTTTACTATGGGTAATGGCGGCCAACAAGCTGAACGTGCTCCACTGGCACCTGACGGATGCCGTGCGCTTAGACACGGCCGGAAACCCTTTCGACCCTGCTTGTCCGACCGCTGGGCAGGCCATGAGCTTTCCACTGCAGCTGGCTTCCCTGCCATGGCTGGCTGAAAAGGGTTCGTTCGGCCGCAACAAGATTTATTCGCAGGCCGCCGCAGAAGTTTCTCTATCCAGCCTATCCAAATGTGGTGCAGCAATTCAGGCAGATGTTCGGCACATTGTGACTCTCGCTGCTAATCTCTCCATCCGGGTCGTTCCAGAGCCTGGGTCCTGGTGGGTCATCTGAGCTTGCGCAGATTCTTTAGCTTCCAGGCTTGACATGCCGGCACACACAGCGAGCTGGATCTTCGGTGAGCCCCAAACAGTCTCCAACTGCACTCACGCCGGGACCCGAGACCTTGAAGGCGTAGCAAGCAGCAGCTGCCATCTCAACAGAGGTCTTGCCACACGATCCGAACGATGCCAAGAATCCCTTCAAAGCCAGGGACAAGCTGGCATTGGATATCTCCTCCAAGCGAACACAGGAGGCCAGGTCGACGAACTGGCAAGGGTCCACCTACTTCTCCAAAAGTGAGGTGGTCTCCGCAATTCTCGAAGAGATTGCTGACCTCTTTCCGGACGAGTTTCTGCATTTGGGAGGGGATGAGGCAGCCTAAAGACCCAAGGAAGTTCCATGACCGGCCCTGTCTGCCCCAGGTGGATTACCGATGCTGGACTACCATGCCGCATATCAAGAAATGGATGAAAAGAAAAGGCCGGCAAAAGGTACAAACAATTGCTCTCCGTGCTTTTCGGTGCAGGCTATGGGGCTCTTCCGGCTCTTCAGCACTTCTTTGACCATGCTCTGAAGGAGGTCTGGCTTTGAGATTGTTGGCCCATCCTTGTGACTGGCCTGGCAGGTACGGAGGCTGGGCAAGCGCCCCATCGTTTGGCAAGACTCCTTCGATCAGGCCGCCTCGTCTGAACGCAATCAAGTGGTGGCAAGCAGCCTGCATGAAAGGGTCTCAAGCTGCCGGAGGAGGCCCGAGCCGTCTCGTGAGCAGATCAGCAGGGAGAGAATTTGCTTGAAGAGCACAGGCAGTCGTGCAGCAGTGGAAGTCTCCCTGACGCGCTTCAGAGAGGGTCCTGACGTGTTGAAGCGGGGAACGCCTGGTCTCAGGTGTTGGGGCAGCGTTGGCCCTGAGATCCGCATGTGGCCCGAGGTGCTAGCTGCAAACACAGTGCCCCGTTCCCAAGCGCACCAGATATCATCATCACCAACACCACCAATCTCCAAAGAGCTTTTGGCTTTTGCAGGCGGAGCCTGCTGCGCAGCTTGGCCACGCCTCTGCTTTCGTCGCCACAGAGCTGAACCTCTCAGCTGTGCAGAGCAGCTGTTGGTATCTGGATTGGGACTCTCAGCGTCTTGGCCAGAAGATGGACACGGCATGGAGATACTTTCAGGCAGAAGGGGAGATGCTTTGTTTGGGAGGTGGACCGACTTTTATGAGCACGCTGCGGACGAAGGCCCCCGAGAAACAAGGCCAAGCAGCCGGCCCCCGGCTCAGAGCGAGAATGAACATGGCAGCTGTGGGAGAAGACGCGTAGAAAGCCACGATCGGTCTTCTCCATAGTTCAAAGCCGGAAGCCGCTGGGAATTGTTGTGATGAGCGACGAGTAGTGTTCGGTTGCCCATAAGGCTCTTTGGAGGCGAGGCCGCGCTTTGGACAGAGCGCATTGACTTCACCAACCTAGCCTGTCGTACCTGGCCTCGCACCGCAGCTGTGGCAGATGCACGGCCGACTTGGGTAGCAGTAGTTATCCTTGAGCATTTGAAGTAACAGAGGATTGGAGGATACCCTCTTACTCATCTTGGGTCAGATTGTCGTTTAAGTGCTTCAGAGGATTCCCTGCAGAGAGCTGCTTCAGGAGCGCCTCTGGTCCACGTCTGCTTTGCCTGTTGCTCTCAGCACAAGGAGTCAGGTGCCAGAGTTTCCCAAACTAGGGGACTCAATATAGATCCCAATGTACTATAGTCCTTATTATGGGGACCCAACCCTAAACCCTAAACCCTGCGTTGTGGATGCGTTCGAGACGCATTATGTGGCGACCCAGCAGCTGTAGTCGACGCCTTGTGCCGCGATTTGGCCTAGGTGTGCCCGCTCCAAGGGAGCTTTGCCTGACTGTAAACGGAGGGTAAAAGGGGCGCTTAAAAAAAAAACCTAAACCCTAAACCCAATTTTTAGGAAACTGTCAAGTGGAAGCTTTTGTGTGAGCCTGGCAGGTGAGGCACCGCCTAGCAGCCCATAGTCAGCGGCTCCATAGGCTCCAAGGTGTTCCCTTCAGGCCCAGAAGAGATGGGTTTAGGGTTTAGGGGTTTCGGGTTTAGGGTCTAGGGGTTTAGGGTTGAGGGATGCCTTCAGCTTTTTCAGCTTCTCTTCCTGAATGGTGGCTCTGTCCTTCCAGGCCTCTCACCGAACCCCGCAATGAATGGTCCCAGGCATCAGACTCCGTTCTTGAATGCATGATGTGTGCGATTGCACATGGGATCTCTAGACAGGTTTTTGAAGTCTTGGACGACGTGGACGGAGCATGCCCTCTTCTGGCCACTCAGGCAGGCTTCACATTTGCTTTGAGCAAGTGCTCCGGACCCGATTTGTTTCTTGAGGCTATCCAAAGAGATGCTGAGGGGTGGCAGGAGGTTCGCCCCTGGAGGGAATCGACCAAGGCGCGCCATGTCTGGTTGGAAGTCCCGTGTCAGGTGATTACCGACGCGTTCGAAGTGCCGGATCAGTTTCGCAGAAGAGAGGCGGAGGATGCAAAAAAAACGCATCAGAAGTAGCAAATTGGGGAACCATGCGCGTATGATTGTTGCTTTATCTTGCATGCTTGAATGTGTGTCTCGTGTGACTATTAAAGTCCTTCAGAGTGGGTGGGTTTTCTGGGGAGCGGGCCTCTCATGGGCCGGCTACGTTTGGATAGCCTGCGGCTTAATGATGCTAGAGTTGCTAGAGCAGGTGGCTCTTTCTCACTTCCATGCTCACCACGCGGCATAAGGTCAATGTGAGACAAACGCAACAAGCGGTGCCAGTGGGCAATGTTTGGACCACGCTGGACTTGCGGCAAAGCCGCCGGGACTTATCAAGGAGCATGAATCTTCTTACCCGGCGGTCAATCTTAGAATATACTCCTGCGCCAAGTGTGATGTGTGGATCCATGGGGCTAAGGCTGGAGTCTTGGCGCACGGATCCCGACCTATGCCTGATCTGGGCAGCCTTCTGCACCACCTCACCCCTGACACTGGCCGATGGCATCTCCTTGGCCAAGACCCGCAGGCCTTCTTCTTGCGATCAAACAGTTTCTTAAGTCTGGCCAGTCTGAAGCTGGTTATGTGGAGGGTGGAGGGATGTCCAGGTCGACGACGGAGGCCTTGAAGCTGCTGACGGGCGTTGAGAATGTGAAGGACGCGCGCTCTCAGTCTGAGGTCCGCATCAGAGCTGCAGAGCTTCAGAGCTGGGCTGCCGGGCGAGAGATTTGATGACACTGCTGCAGGCCATGCAGGCTGGCGAGGCAGGCGCGGATATCGCGCCGCCAGACGAGACCGCCTGTCCAAAGCTCACCCTGAAAGCCAAAGCCAGCGCCCCAGTACTCGAGGATATTCGAAGATGCTCGAGAGCTTTGCAATCAGATGTCAGCACTCCGAGGCCTGCAGAGGCCTGCAAGAGGAGCCGCAGGAGGCTCCCCTTCTCCCTTTTGACTCTTGGAGGGGCCACGCTGAAAATGTCAGTTGCCCAAGCGTATGAAACACCCAAAGCCTTGAGCAAAGAAGATCATACAAGCCTACCACTTATGAATGACTCAGGTTTCATTGAAGCCCTGGCAAGCCAGCGGATTTAGCTTGATTGCGCGCCAGGACCTGAGGTAAGTTGCAGTTCAGTAGCCAGGTCGCGCAGGGTGGGAGGGGGAAGGATATGCAGGTTTGCCAGAGCAAGTGGCGAAGAGGTAGAGGGTGGCTCTAGGACGCTGACATTTCCAAACAATGTCGGGGTTTCCTCCCTATGACACACCAATGTCGTGTGGTTGTGAATAATGACTCTCAATTTCACAAGTCAAGAAAGCCTGTGGATGGAAGTCTCGTCCCCGGTGCTGAGTGGACCATCAGCCTCCCTGAAGTCCGAGGTTTGGCGAAATCAGTTCACAGCGAGGCAAGACGCAATGTGACCAGCACACAGGCATGAAATAAGAAACAGCATGCGGCGCGCAGTGGCATCTCTCTTGCAAAGTGAGAATTGGTGTGCTACCGCCAGTATGTCATTCTCTGTGATAAGGGGCCATGTACATGTAGTGCTTGCTTAGTATTGTGTGTTTTCTGCGTGCCCCCCAGAATGCAATCATGCCAGGTCCATTACTCTCAGGACAACACCGGAATCACCGGTGTGGCGAAGGTAAGCAGCATGGCTCGTCAGAATCGCTGAACCCAGTTCAACTGCCACTGCTTGTAGGTGGTGTCGAAGAACATCGCAAACAAGGAGAAGGTCTGCCGAAAAATGCGCTGCCCTAGCCAGAGCGACATGCAAGTTGCAGCCAGGACAACAGCGAAAAGACTGTCTGGCTGAATGCCTAGGGATAACGGAATCACTAGAGCTTCTGAGCAAACCACTTCGCATAGCACCGGCTGAGGTTGAGCGACGTTGACATCCAGTCTTTTGAAGACATCAGAAGTGAAATTGCCGTGCATAGCTCGGTCATGGAACATGTGCCAAGATTCTTTTGCTGGCCTCCCTTCACTCCATTGCTTTGAGGTCTTGAAGTTTCTCAGCAACACGGAGCACTGCCCGCATGTCATCAACATCCTGGGGTGCTTTGAGGACTGCTGCACTCTTTCTAGCCACATGAGGGTGCAAGGTGCGTGCCTCAAATCGCGTGTAGCGAGTGCAGGATAGCGTGAGCATCTACCTGGTCACGGGCTACTGCGAGGAAGGTGCCAAACAACATGAAAGTCTGAATTTTGGAGAGTGCTTCTTGAACGCCACAGGCGACCTCTTCGAGCGAGTAGCGTACGGAGATCCTCTTGCAGAGACACAAAAGAAACGCTATGTTAGCGAGCTCTTGCAAGGGGTCCAAAGCCTCAGGTTGTCTTGCACTTGTGGCGAGACGTGCATGCAGCAAAGCACCTAACTGTGCGTCAGGTCAGCCACCTTCATCGACACAACATAGGCAAAACTGACCGGCTGACTTGGACTAGAGGGTTGGTTCTTTGCAGCCAGGACACAGAGACATCTCTCTTGAGAATGCCCTTTTCTGAGACGTCTCCGGCAGCAAAGTTCTTCCAACATTCTTGTTTGGCTGCAGAATTAGCGGGTGATTTCTCTCCTTCAGGTTCTGCTGCGGAAGGGAAGTTGTGTGCTGAGTGACTTTGGGCAGGCAAGTGGCATTGCCTGCTGCATTTCCGCTGAACCCGTCGAATGCCAGGCAGTGCCACTCAAAGCGCAAGATGGAAGAGTGCTGCGGCGCCCTGTCTGTTTTGACTGTGAAGTCCTTTGCGGAATTGTTAAAGCTTCAGGTACTTTGTTGAGGCAGGCAAGCGTATGTACCGCTCCCCCGAGATGTACGTGCCGCGCACCACCCTGGTGCAGGCTGGGCGTGCCAGAACGTTTATTGTTCCCATGTGTGTGTACGCTTTTGGGCTGCGAGGTGGTGTGCCCGGCAGATGGAAAGCCCGGGATACCGTCATTGGTGCGCCGTGAAATCTTCGATGGCAGCTTATGGGCAGTCGACTTTTACCAAATGAGCAATAAGACCTCTGCAGGTATCTCATGAAACTGCCAGATGTGAAGTTCTGTTGCCTGCTGATGCTGAGCCTGGGCGGCTAAAAACTTAGAAGCATCTCTTGTTCTCACGAGCAGCAATTCTGTTTTTTGGTGACAAGGCCCTGCAACGCAACTCCATACGGCAGGGGCCTCGAATTTACCTCCCTTTCAAGTGCGCCAGGAACCACTATCTTGATACATGTACATATATATATATACACATGTATGCATGTAGGTACGTAAGTACGTATGTACGCATCTGCGTGTGTACGTATGTACGTACGTACGTACGTATGTACGTATGTACGTATGTGCGCATGTACGCATGTACGCATGTACGTACATACGTACATACGTATGTACGTATGTACGTA